ATTATATTTTTTTTTTAATAGTGCATACTACATAATGTATGCAAAAACAAAAAATAAATCTAATGGAGGGGGAACTGACCCCCACGTCCCCCCCCTTGTCTACGCCACTGCTTGTATAGTCACTCCACTTCTGTCTGCCATTGTTACGGTCGCCACTACAGCGACGTTCAGACCCTGGAGTCGGAGCCCGAAGGCTCGACTCTCGGAGGCGCAGACGGAGAGGAGTTGGCTGAAGACGTCGAGGAGACCGTCTTCTCGCACTGTGGCGGAGTGCCGAGCGGCGACGCGCTGTCGTCTGCTGCAGAGTCGGAGCTCGGTCCGATCCCAGAGACAGCACCGCTCGGCGACGACGATGACACAGTAAGAGAAGACGAAAATTCGAAGGTTTCTGAAGCAGAAGTGGAGGATGTTTTGTGTCCAGAAGACGATGTATCGGATGAAAAAATCGAGACCGCCACAGGAGAAGACCCCCCTGGGCGAAGACGACGGACAGGAGATGACGGCGACGGAATGGAGGGGAGGATGCGGGAAAGTGCACGGACGGTGCGCGGCGGTAAGTCACCCGCGCACGTTCTCCGACCTGCACCCGCGGCCCGACGGGTTCGCTGGCGTCGCGCGCTCGGTCGTCGATGACGCGCGAGACCCTCTGGCGGCTCGGCGAGCGGCGGACCGCAGTTACGGTCACGTGATGCGATGGCGACGGTGGACGGCGGCTAGTAGACGTACCGGCGCGGGCAACGATTCCGACCCGACGGTACACCGACTCGGTACGACGACGGCGGCGGCGACTCGGTACGACGGCACCGGCGGAGACCTCGGCACGGGGTGAGTGGTACGGAGATTCGAGTGCTAGGAATACGGGGACGTCAGCGGCGCCGGACTCGCAGAAACTTAACCTTTTCAGGGTCTGGAGGCGCGCGGCGGCTGAAGGGACAACGCCAGGGCGAAAGTTACAGAAAGTCAAGGATCGCGCTGTGGTCCGCTGGCTCTCGCCTTTTCGCCCAGCGGTAATCCCAAAACGGCCGCTTCGATCGTCCCCACCGGATCCGCAGCACAGAATCTCATTTCGCTGGCTCCACGTCTTGGTCTTCGCCGTCCGTCGTCACGAGTCGTCACGCCGTCGACGCGCACGACATCGCTCACTAGTCTCCGTCCGTCGCCGTCAATCGTGGTCGCAACCGTGGCCGTCTCGGTCTGGCCTCGCCGGCTGGGCAAGGTCGTCAAGCGTCCGAGCAAACGCGCCAGCAACACTCGTCAACCCGCGGGACAGGTCGGAGAACGTGCAGAGGTGACCAGTGGCCAGCAACACTACATTTCTGCACCAATCGCCATCTCGCATCCTCCCCCCTTGTTTATTGTGTCTATCCTGTCTGTCGTATTTTTTTTTTCTTTAAATTTAAGTGATTTCAAAATTCAAAATTGTTAAGTTTAAATTGTTCACACATTTTAATTTCGATTTTTTTTTCTTCTTATTCGCGGCCTTTTTGTTATAATAAACATATTTTGTGAACACAAAAAAATTTTGTTTCTTTTTTTTCGTTTAGTTCAATTTTTACAGATTTAACGACTAAAAAAACGTTAAAATATATATTTTAAATAAAAAAAACTCGTTGGTCGATTTATACAGAGTATAAGACCTGCAGTAGTGCACTATAAACGCTACATGGATATTATAATATGTTTCAAGAAATATTCAAGCCATCAAGTACTAAAGGCGACGAATTACTGAGGAATAAATCATAAAATAACGTATTACACTGGCGGATATGACATGGACAGTTATATAAACCATACAAGAATTGTAAATAATAATATGTATTGTGTAGAACGCTTGAACGTTAATATAGTCAAATTGACTCAAATAGTTGATACAAATTTATTATTACAAAATAATATTTAAAAAATTCAAAATTGTATTCTACATATGTAAAATAATAATATAATACTGCATATCGAAAAATAACATTGTATTTTAAAATTATTGTCTCGATAATATTTAAATAATATGATGTTTACACTATAACCCATAATATACCCCGATAAAAAAAAATCCTATGTATAAATATTAAATACATATATTGCAATTTACTTGTTAGCATTTATATTTTATTTATTCAATACGAGATTACATATACCTGCTATACCAAATTCTAAAAAAAGACATTCATTAAAAATATGTGATTTCAGATAATTATTATAAAAGTCGATTTTAACAACTGTGTATTAATTAAACATGTTTTAAAGCAATTAATTATATTATAATATACGTATCTATACATTTTAAATAATAAAATCGTTTATGGTGAAATTAATTATTTTTTTACAATAATCTGATTAAGATATTTTACGTTATCAAAAGGAAAAGAGAATATTTTCATTAAAAAAAGGGATTAAATAATGTTACATATTATACTGAAATACCTATGCCGTTACACATATTACGCTGTAAATTTTAATTTGTATAATATTGTTGTAAACAATTTTATTTACGCATTCCTAATATCAAATATTACACTTCAATAGCAATACAACAATTCAAAGTTAATAATAAAATAACTGATAAAACCTTTTACGTTGGAAAAAAAATTTAAAAAAATATATATTTAATTATACTGCAAACTGATGTTCAAACAATGATTTATGCACACTAAAAACTGTTGTATTTCAACTTTCGGAGTTCAGTCGGCTTGAGAGAATGGCGAAGAGTTCAAAATCATTGGGTATTACATTCCATTACAGTTTTTTTTTCTACCCCAAAACCACGGACTAAGATATACTTGTTCCCTTGTTCCCTTAAAAATCCATAAGTGGAAGGTGATCTGAAAAAAATTAATAATTAATATTTTGACCACTCTTTGTCTAAGTGAATATTTTTACCTTATTTTCAACAACATGCATAATAAAATCCAATTCTCTGAATAACGTCTATTTTTTAAATTGGTGACTTAACTAGCATTTACGATTTCTTGGACTATTGTTTTTTGTGAACTATTTAAGTTTGTATGTTCAAATAAATCATTTAATGATTTATTCGTTAAGTTCTTTGATTTATCTTGTAGTTCACTCAATGTACAATTTAATTGGTTAATTTTTAATTTAAACTTTTGAAAAATAAAATATTAAAAATTATTTTAATAAATAAATAGGTAATTAGTTTAAATTAATTTTACCTTTTGTTGGATTTCTTAACATTTTTCGATTTTTTTATCATCCCTTTAATTATTTTGTGTCTTGTAGGAGTGAGAGTTGTTCCAACATATGTTTTAGTTCTTATAGATAATCTTTTTTTATACTCTCTAAAATAAGGGAACAATGAATTGCACCTTTTACATCTTTTTTTGAACTTGTTAGAATAGAACATTCATTATGGCGCTAGGTTGTATTCTCTAAATAAGTATTCTTAACCCGAATTCCTAATTAAAAATTGATTTAGGTAGGTACCTATACAGCTGTTTTATTTAACATTTAAAACTCTTACCTGAAAAATGTATGACACTGGGACCTCCTTGGCATATTTCTTTTTGTTCAAACAATTGAAGGGTTTCAGTAATTTGCAATGTATCAAGTGGGTATGTTAATTGTGTAGACCCAAATTTTTAGGATTTCGACGCTTTTGATTAACATAATAGCTCACTTTTAAACTATTTGATTCAAAAACAATTTGTTTTTCAATAACAATTTTAGCTTCATTAAATTCTATGAATTTAATCAGCTTATACAATGCAACAATACTTCCATCATGATATAATGACCAACCAACTGGCAATAATAAACTTACATACCACAGTTTTGATTCTTTTAATAAATCATATGAACTATGAAGTTAGGTAGGTATATATAAATTAAATAATCTACATGGTCTATTATGACAATTAATCACAAACATACTATTAATGTTGGTGTTTGACATAAAATCTTAGGCTTGGGTTCACCAAACAATTCTTTCCTAAATGACTCAGTAACAGGTGTACAAGATTCTCGAGGTTCTGCAGGCAAATCATTTGTTTTGTGAATATCAAATGGTGAATTAAATACTGATGGAAAAGCACCTTTTTTTAGCCCAATTAAATTCCTTTTAAACTGTGTATAGAATTAATGAGTTATAATTTATAATTTATAATGACCATGTAGGTACTTATATAGTACCTACCTAAATGGCTAAATACAAATAATTATGTTTTCTTACTTCCAAGTCATTACACCTACTATAACTGTTAATCAAATCTTCTTTCCTAAAATGTTCTATACAGACGTATGTCACTTTACGTTTATGATTACCATTTACTTCATTAATAATTTCCTCCCACGATTCTCGAACTTTAAACAACTGAACATTGGACCGTTCCTTAGTGGTACATAAAAATACTGAACACTGGCGAGGCATTTTAATTTTATAATTTCAACACAAATGTAGAAAATAGTCGTAACTATTTAAATAAATCAAGCAGTAGATCTAGACGCTCTAGTAAGTAGTAAGTAAATTTCTAAAGTCTAAATACTCTACTATTTACTAATGGAATGAATATAAAATATGCAATGAGACCAATGTAATTTATTTTTCTGTGCCAATGTATTTATAGAGAAGTAATGGTAGATGAGCTATAAGCCTACTAGATGGCGCTAGGTGTCCCACATGCTATTGAAAACATTTGGTATCCAGCCCTCTACTACCCTCCAGCCATATCGTTACCAGTCCTGTATATCTACATCAGCTGTGGTCGCGGGTCTTCGACGGACGGATCACGGATTCCACACACACTGGTGGCGGCACTGATCGAACGATGTTACCCACACCGTTCGGTCACCGTGTAATAATAATATGGTCGACGCCTGTGTATTGTATTTTCAATTTTGTAGTCCGGTCCACTTACGTTTTGATAAGGATAAGAAGCACATGCACTAATTGTCATTTGTCAGCGAATTTCGTGTTAATAAGTTAAAAATTGTTCGCTACATTTGTACTTTTATATTTTGCTCAAACAATAATCGACTATTCCAAGATGATGTCCCAGAGTGGTGCTCCGATTTTAGTGTTGAATGCCAACACAAAAAGGAAGTTTGGACATAAAGTTCAATTGGAAAATATCGCCGCAGGTAAATAATTCATGTCTTCTTTCTCTATCGATACTTGCAAATGTTACCAAATTCACGTTATTTTAATACAATAATATGTTTCTATACCTGACACGTTAATATTTTATAAACATTACTATTGAAATTGATATATTTTCATAAAAATATTTATCTACTATGCATATATTGTGACTCATTAAATGACACTTAGTTACAATGAACCTAAGAAAAAAGGTGAGTACATTTAATATACATAGAATATATCACATTATAAATTTCATTACTCTGTTTATAATTGGTAAAAATTGTTTAAAATTAAACGTAAATATTGTATATTATATATAAAACATGTTATTAATATTTTCAGCCAATAATATAACCTCATATAAATTAAAAGTTTTTGAACATTCAATTTTACTATTTATTTAAACAATATGACTATATTGAAAAAGCAGTGGGAAACAACTGCGTGATATATAACGACCTTAATACACAACAGTTTAATCTGTTCAAAGAACAGATTTTTGTTAAACTGACCTATTGTTATATATAAAAAAAGTTATGTTTTTGCTTCCTAATTTTATCATCCATGTTTCCATAATATATTAAGACTTACCTATCATTTGGGACATTTATGGAGCATTTAATATGATTTTTGCATTTTTCTACTTTTGAACATTTGAATTACATGAAACATATAACATTCTTACAAAAAGTTGTAGTTTTAAATTATGTCTATTTTATTTTTCCAAACATAAATACGAGTAAAAACATAACACATATTTAAAAAATATGTGATTTGGTTTTATAGCATGCTAAAAACAATACCAATATAAATATATTACAGGTACACCTATAGATAATATATTTTTTAATCATTATTTTGATAATTCATAAATTATATACTTGATTTATATATTATTGTGTATACTTAAGTACCTACTGGTTACTTTTGATTTCAATTACAATGTTATACAATAAATGCTAGCAGGGTTCGAAGTACTGGACCCAACCCATTAAAACCCACCGGGTTTTAATGGGTTGGGCCCAGCAAAAAAACCCAGAAAAAAAACCCAGTAAAAAAAACCAACAAACCAAAAAATAAAAACTTCAAACTGCATATTTATTTTTTATTACTTTTTAGTAACAATACAAATGTAAGCAAAAACATTAAATATTATAATTTTACATTTCTTAATTAATTTTACTTCGACAGTCAAGAGTGACCAACCGTAGAATGAAGATGGGAATATATTATATAATAATACATTATTATATTATTATAATATTTACACTTGTCAAAACCACGATTAAAGATATACGATTATGTATATCTTGTTCAAAACAATTTAAAATGGTACATTTATGTTTTATAGGTTAGGTTTGTAGGGAACTTCCCTAATAAAAAAGTGTCAGGAAACAGCATTTATTTGAACATTTTTAAAACCCATTAAAACCCATTTAAACCCATTAAAACCCATTTAAACCCAACCGGGTTGGGTTTTTTAAAAAAACCCGTGGGTTTTTTAAACCCTGAATGCTAGTGACTTATTCATAAAAATGTTTAAAAATACATATTTAAAAGAACTTTTGGACTATTAATTAATCATAAATAGGTATAATTACAAAAAACCAGTTTTTGTCCGGTTTGCGCATCTCCCCACTATTCTATACACAAAACCATTGCTAGTTGTTCTCTGCATTTCAATGGTTGGCAATATCAATAGGATATTACAGAAGCGGAGAACTACGCAATAGACGTGGCATTCGTATCACAGAGTGGTAGTCATACCTATTTATTCAGTCATGTAATTAATATTGGTTTTAGTTTTTAATGTTTATAACTGATAAAAATAGGTATTTCTTCTTCTATCTAAGAATCATGATTTAATTTAAATGTGTATGCTACGAGTTATCTTAGCTAGTTATTCTTGGGTCAGTAAGCTTAATTCTTAGTTATTTCATTATATTATTTAATAAATCAAATTTTATTTCAGGTAAAGCAATTGCTGACGTTGTACGTACATGTATTGGACCCAGAGCTATGCTTAAAATGTTGATGGATCCAATGGGTGGTATCGTGATGACAAATGATGGAAATGCTATTTTAAGAGAAATTACAGTTCAACATCCTGCTGCTAAATCATTTATTGAGATTGCTCGCACTCAAGATGAAGAAGTTGGGGATGGTACAACATCAGTTGTAGTACTCGCAGGTGAAATTCTTGGTGTTGCAGAACAATTTTTAGAACAAAAACTTCATCCAACTGTTATAATCAGAGCCTATCGTCAAGCTTTAGAAGACATGTTGGACTTCTTAGACAAAGAATATAGTACGCCATTATCTTTGGATGATGAGCCCAAATTAATTGAAGTGATTAAGTCCTGTGTTGGAACCAAGTTTATTGGTCGCTGGTCAGATTTGGCATGTAGTATTGCTTTGAATGCTGTTAAGACAGTTAGTATAAGAGATGAAGGTCGTACTGAAATTGATATAAAGAGGTATGCGAAGGTTGAAAAAGTACCAGGTGGAGCTATTGAAGATTCCCAGGTATTAAATGGTATTATGTTGAACAAAGATGTGACACATCCAAAAATGAGAAGGTTTATAAAAAATCCCAGAATTGTTCTTTTGGATTGTTCTTTGGAATTCAAAAAAGGAGAAAGCCAAACAGAAGTCGAAATTGTCAAAGAAACTGACTTTACACGGTTATTGCAGATTGAAGAAGAATATATACAACAAATATGTTCCGATATTATAGCACTAAAACCAGACTTGGTTTGTACAGAAAAGGGAGTTTCTGATTTGGCACAGCATTTCTTGTTGAAGGCTAACATATCAGTGTTAAGGCGTTTGAGAAAATCTGACAATAATCGTGTTGCAAGAGCTTGTAATGCCACTATTGTGACACGCACAGATGAATTACGGGAGAGTCATGTTGGAACTGGAGCTGGTCAATTTGAAATAAAAAAGATAGGTGATGAATATTTTACTTTCATCACGGAATGCGTTAATCCAAAGGCTTGCACTATTTTACTTAGGGGACCAAGCAAAGACATACTGAATGAAGTTGAACGGAATTTACAAGACGCTTTGCATGTAGCCAAAAATATTATGCTAAACCCGAAATTAGTATCAGGCGGTGGCTCTATAGAAATGGCTATATCACAGTCATTAGTTAAAAAAAGTGCTGAAATAGCTGGTGTGACTCAATGGCCATACAAAGCTGTTGCCCAGGCATTGGAAGTTATTCCACGTACACTTTTGCAAAACTGTGGAGTGAGCACAATAAGAACAATGACATCTTTAAGAGCCAAACATGCAGTAAGTGGAAACGCCAGTTGGGGAATAAATGGTGAAACAGGTGAAATGGCTGATATGAAAGACCTCAAGGTATGGGAACCAATTGTTGTGAAATCTCAAGTATACAAAACTGCGATTGAAACTGCTATATTATTGGTACGCATTGATGATATTGTGTCTGGTACAAAGAAGAGGGGTGATGATGGACAACCAAAAACATCCGCGCAACCTACTGAAGAGTCCATGAAAGAATAATTTTTAATTTACTTATAGTTTTTTATTATATTTATTATTATTACTCACAAATTCCTAAAATATAATCTAAATAAACACTATTAATATTATTAATATTTTGATGTCAAGTTTTTTGACAAGTTTAACAAATTCTGCTATTAAATTTTTTTTTATTTAATAAAAATAATTTTTACTATTTTGTGGTATTATTTCTGAACTATTTTTCTATCATTAATGATTAGTTTTTAATAGCTGCTGGATAATAAATTATATTAGAATAATCGATAGGTTCATTTTAGTTTAATATATCATTTTATTTTATTTAATATACATAAAACATAATAAGAATTTAATACTCTATTTTAGGTGAATTATGTTAAGATTAAAATTGTGTAACAAAATTAAGAACGATATAAAGAAAATCAAATGGCATGATAAGAATATCAGATACCTGTAAATTACATATTTACATTACTGGCGTTTTGCAATGTGCTTTATACAGTTTGTCCCGAAAGTCCCGTTTCGCCCTTAAAAGTATCTCTGTGGAAAATCAATATATTTGATACAGTATTTTTTACACTAATAAGTAAGGAAATTCTGTTGAATACCATAATGTTTTGACATTTTCAAAAACTCAAAAATTATCAAAAGTTTTTTTTACGAAACTAAGTTTTTTAAATTTCCAAAATAGCCATTTTGTTGATCTTATTTTTTAAAACAGTTACAAAAAAAAATATTAAAATTTAATTGATATCGACCAAGTTAGAGCTAATTATTATTTTGAATTTCTAAGAATAATAGTTATATAATTTTTGAATATTTAACAAAATAGGTACAAAACAAGCATGACAATTTTACTGAATATTTATATTTTCATTTTCTATACAAAATAAAATTTTGAAAATATTTTGACACTTGTTGAGCTGTTTGCGGACATGGTCAGTTTTCAATTTTTTTAGTTTTTTTTTTCTATAAATAACAACAAAATTTTATTTGATGGGTTAAAAAGCTTGAAAATTTAATGCAAGGTTCCTGATATATTGTTACAATAGCAGTTGAAAAATATTAAAAATACCTATATAATCCCAATTTTTTTATAAGCATTTAAAGTTTGAATTTTGAGTTTATCAAATTTCAAATTTAATAATTATTTTACAGTGAAAAATGTAGAATAAAAGGTGGGCAAGTGGATGTCGCTCTGCTGTACAGTAGGTTACAAGTGGGTCACTGTAACGGTTGGTATTAAATTTGAATTCAATGATATAATATCATTGTATAAGAAAAACGATTCTGATCGAAAACTGTTAGTCAGCTTATTATATTACCAACTACCAAGTATATTTGATGATGTTATTGTGAATAAAGTAATTTACGTGGAACCTTGTTTTACATTTTCAATCCGTAGCTATAAGAGTTGAACATTTTATACATTTTTAACTACAAAATAATCAATAAATTTTGACAAAATTCGAAATTTAAATGTTTGTAAAAGAAAATTGTGCCTACGTATATGTTTAATATTTTTCAACTGCTACTGTAACAATATATCATTAGCCTTGTATTAAATGTTAAAACATTTTGGCCCAACTGATAAAATTTTATTGATATTCATATAAAAAAAAAGGTGGGCAAGTGGGTGCCGCTCTGCTGTACAGTAGATTACAAGTGGGTCACTGTATAACGGATGATATTAAATTTGAATTCAACGATATAATATCATTGTATAAGAAAAACGATTCTGAGCGGAGACGGTATGTCAGTCTAGGTATAAGACATGACATTATATACATATCTATGGTATTAAACAAAAAATTGACCTATTATAAATTCCAAATTAATCATATCACAATATCCATTATAGGAACTTATAATGCGTTATACATCAACAAAAACCGTGATACTATTATAGATATATAATAGTACACTTTAGAAGTTTCAAGTACCCACGAATAATATTATTCAATCACAACAAAATAACTAAAATAGTTATTCTATGTTTTTTAATATGTAATTTCGTCCAAATTTGAATATAAAATGGCTGGTTACAGTATGAACTATTTATGAGAACCCAGAGAACCTTTGTTTTAAATTTGCAATCCTTAGCTATAAAAACTGAACATTTTATAATTTATTAATTACAATGATTGATAATTTTCGAGATTTTGATAAATTTTGTCAAAATTCGATCTTTAAATGCTTATAAAAAAAAAATTGTGAATACGTATTTTTAATATTTTTCAATTGCTATTGTAACAATATATCAGGAGCCTTGTATTAAAATTGTACACTTTTGGGCCCAACAGATAAAACTTTATTGATATTTATAGAAAAAAAAACTAAAAAATTGAAACTGAAAATGTCTGTAAACAGCTCAAAAAGGGTCCAAATATTTTCAAAATTGTACAGTGTATAGGAAATGCTAACATGAACATTCAGTGAAATTTTCATGTATCTACAATTATTCGTTTTTGAATCACAACAAAATAAGGAAATCGCTACATGAGAAATCGAGTGAATATCCAATGTTGTAAAAATACGAACATCAAACGCTCATAAAAATTGAATTTGCCCTTCTTGTAGACATTTTTTTTTTTTGATAAAGGTAGAACAACTTATGAGGAATCTTGTATTATATTTTCAAATCTTAAATATAAATAGTACATTTTTATCAATTTCTAGCTCAAAATAATTTTTGTCATTTTTAAGTATTTTGCCAATATTTGAACATTAAATCCTTATAAAAAAAAAATTGTGACTGGATTTTTAATATTTTTCAAATTTCATATATTAGGAGTCTTGTATTAAATTTTCAAGATTTTTTACACAACAAATAAAATTTTATTGACATTCATAGAAATAAAAACTAAAAAAAATTGAAACTGAAAATGTCCATAAACAGGTCGAAACAAATCAAAAATTTTTGAAAATTTTATCGTTTATAGAAAATGCTAATTTATTTAAATAATTTCATATATCAAAGGTCATTTGTCTTAAAGTTATACAAAAAACCCAAATCGATTTTGTCGAAAGCCGATTTAGGGTAAAAATTCCAGGTTTTCCTTAATTTTTTTTTATATTTATAGGCGGCCATCGGGAGAGGGGCTTAGCCCCTAAATATTTTAATAGCCCCCCCAAAATTGAAACTTAATTTTAAATGTCATTCGTTGTTTTCAGAATTATGTTTTCGTTTTGTTATGCATTGTTATTAGTTAAACACATCTATCACCTAAAACTAGCGTTCACTTTACATTGGATTGGATTATTTGGATTATTATAGCCCCCCTAAAAATTCAACCAAATGTCCGCCTATGTTCAAATTAATATATACAACATCTAGACATCTAGTACCTATAGTATCGCTCGCTCAGAACCTAAAATAGAAAATTAAAAACCTCTAAAATAGCCATTTGAAAATTATACAATATATAATATGGAAGATGCTCATAAAAAGATTTTCCCGCATTTTTTGTCGTTTTTCCTAATATTATGAAGAAAAAAAACTTTTAATTTTCTGCAATTTCACCCTTTAAAATACCTATAGTACCAACTATAGATGCAACTTGATCAGAAATCATCCCCAATGTTGTAGATCAAAGCATTTTTTTTACTATAAAACCCAATATACACAGCACAACACATACACAAATAACAATAATTGTAAAATTTTACAATTCTCGCAAAGCTGCAGAACCAGTTGAACCGATCGAAGACGACGTGGTGGTCGCACCGACGGTGCAGGAAAAGGAGCTAGGTGTTGAGGTGAGGGGCGCCAAGCCGGCCAGGGGACTAGAAGTCAGCAACAAATTTGGAATCTTGATTGGTTGGCTGGACCCGGGGGTCAAAACAGAAACACTCACAGTGGAACGGCGAGAGTTGTCTTCTCTGCGTGGAGAGGTCTAACGAGAGCCGCACGCGTGTTGTGTTGTTGTCCCCCGAAGGGAAACCGTCCGAAAGTTTCCCCCATGGCCGAGGGCAGCGGACAAGGCGAGGTGACGTATGGGGTCGAGGCAATAGGTACATGACAGTGCACATTTAGGTGGTGATCGGCGGTCAGTCATTGATACACGTTCTCCGGCCATTCTGCGGTAGCGTGAAAGGATCGCGGACGTTGGGCGCTCGAGGTCGCCGAGACACGCGAGACCCTCTGGCGGCTTGGCCGGCGCCAGCTGCTTCGGTCCGGGAGCGACGACGACACGACGACGGAGCCTAGTGGTACCGACGGTACCTGTTCAGTGCTCAGGGACGAATGCACGACTCGTGACGGCGGCGACGGAGACCTAGAGCTCACGGCGGGTGTGTGAAGGATGACTATAATTACAGGGTAGCTTGCAACGGTGCAACACCATGGACGTCACCATCGCCTGGCTCGAGGAAACGTAACGTTTCCTTGGGTTCGGCGGTGCGTGACTCCGTGGCCATCGGCTGCGGCAGGAGGCGGCAGAGACGCCATGGCGAAAATCACGGAGAGTATCAGGGCAGCGGCGCGTTGCGATGCTGTCCGCAGATTCTCTCCCCTTTTCGCCCAGTAGTCCTATCCCACGCCGGTCGAGTCACAATGCCGCCGATTCCGCAGCTGCACCGAGATTATAGTCTTCGTCGCTTGCTCGCTCCGAGCTTTGAAGGTCACCGTCGTCGCCGGCACAACAGTCGTCTTCAGCACCTGTAGCACCGTCAGACATCGCGTACTAGCCTCTCGTCGCCAACCGTCGTCGCTCTCGCAGCCGTTGTGGCTGGCCTTCACTCGCTGCCATGGTCGTCTTAGAGTCTCGAGCAAACGCGCCCGTGACTCGTGAGAACGTTGTAGAGGTGACCAGTGGCCATATACTATATAGTTAGTAGTTACCAATATCATCAACACCACCAACTCGGCATCACGTACCCCCCCCCCCCCCCATCGCCTCGTCTTGTCCAATTCCTTTTTTTTTCATTTAAATTATTCTTTCTTGTTTTTGCTACCTTTTTTTGTATCACATAATATATTTCATTCTTCGGCGTTTAAAATTTGAATAGCGGGCGCTACACCTCTACTCTAGGATAGCCGCAACTGCTTCTTTGGTAATTGAATTACAACTCATATTAATAAACTCAGATACAGTAAAACCTCTCTATAACGGACCCTCTATTAGACGGAATCCTCCTTATAAAGGAAAATGTCAATAGTTTTCTATTAATCTTTCAATAGTTTTTCTACCTCCCTATAACGAAAAACTCTTTATAACGGAAAAAAATTGAGTCCCAAGCGGTTCCGTTATAGGGAGGTTTTACTGTACACGTATACTGAAATGATTAGGAAGTATGTCTATCATCATTCGACAAAATATAAAAGTTTTTCAATAGAACATGCATACCTAGCTTAGGTATCTTACCTATACTCTGTTTACTTCGCACAAACGAATGCACATGTGGGTTTGGTTGTTAGCGGTGGGGCCCTTTTTTGGTTTGTGCGTTGTGAGCAACCACTTTCTCACGGCGAATGGAGTATAATACTTGCGATGAGCTAAAATGTAATTACAGTATTGAGGATCATTGCAGTTATGTAGGTACCTACCTATGAAAAATGTAAAACAATTTATATATTAAATGCAAGTTTTTATAAAAAATCAACCATAAACTTTGCGCCAAAATATTATAAATTACTATATTATTATTATACCTGTCCAGTAACCGCGGTTAAAATGTCCTTTGAATAATAATATAATGGGCGCCAAATTTTTATGATAAGTGTTAAGACGTGATAACGTGCAGCCGCGTACTGACTGGTGTGACCGACTGTTGTGTGTACACAGCTGGTGACGGATATTTTATTTAAAAAACTATACGCTATTTGTTTTTCAGTTTTCTGTACTCTGTAGGTACTACTTTTTATCATCCATAAAAAAACAAAACTACAAAATTACAAATATATTTTTAACGACGAGATGAACAAGAGAAAGTATCCGTATGGCATCGATATGTGTCCCCAGCTAAAAATACATATTGGAGAGAAACAAGTCGCTAATGGAGTATTGGGACCATCCAAAATGTCTGAAATTTATGGTAAGAACACCCCTTAAATAGATAATATTATGGTTTATTAATTTCTATTATGTCTTGTAACATTGCATTAAAGGAAATTATACGTTTAGGTATAACTGGTTTAACTAGGGTAAACATTTTGTAGTAAATGCTATATTGGCTGGCAGCCAGAGTCGGACTGGCCCGGACCGCTAGTCAGCAATTGCGGACGGGGCCCTGGCTTAATCATGGTAATTGGGGGCCCCTGATTTTGTACCTATTAATATTATGTATCGTTATATTATATTATTCTTTTAGAATAAATAGAAAAACGAAATAAACATTTTTTTTTTCAAATCAGGAAACGTATTTTTGTTTACAATCTTAAAACGTTCTCAAAAAATATTAAAATAATGAAATATGAAAGGAAAAAAAATTTAAATAACGACACTATCATTATCATTCTAAGAATTTAATAGCTATCTAGTGTCTATATACAAATATGTATCATTGATTTGATTTTAAATAGTGTAAAATTGTTGTGACTATTAAGAGGATGTCAGTGCACTATGTGGACCAGAGAGAGAAAACAAATAGTGCTCTGATATCCTCTTAAATAATATTATAATATTATATTTATACGGGCGTATGACTTCGTATTATTTCGCATTATAACTGATTTTAACTGAATTATTATATTTTTTATAATTATTGTACTGTCGTTTTTCTTTATAATGTTTGATGTCACAGAACGTGATGTAGCCAGTATAGGGGCTACGCCCCAGTGGTGTAATTTGGGGGTTGGATAGGAGAGATTTCCCCTGTCTGATAATAAAAACAGTCTGATGGGTCTCTTGTCATCAATTTACTTAGGACCTGCAGAAAATGTCTTAGCATTTAAGGATATGCTCAATATAATTTCTATATTGAAAATATAGTAAAACCAGTTGAATATCAGTTAGGTACGTATTTAGTTATTTGTGCCTATATGGCTGTATGATAAATATGGAAGATGGAAATTATATTGAAAAAAAATTTTCTATGTGACTATGTAGCTACATGAAAATTGTATTGCGAGAGAAGCGAGTTTTGTTTGGGCTTGTTAAAACATTTGACATTTGCCTGTTGGGGGCCCTTTTTTCCAAATCGCTGACTGGGCCTTTTCGAGCCTGTCTGACACTGCTGGCAGCGTGAGAGAAAGATAATTTTTATGTATAAATTAATTTTGTATCTATCCAATTACAAACAAGTAAACTTAATTTTTCCTTTTCCCTTGAATACCTAGTGATGTTTCTGCATTCCCTCCCGCCATAACATATTTTTTTGAAATTATTTGGTATTTGCATAATGTCTAAAACAATTTCACCTACCTATTTTTTTTATTTAAATTAAACTTTTCAACAAAATTGCATCAAGTTTGGCATCAACAACATTGATAATAGCACTGTTGTTGCAGAACAGTTGTAGGTATAGTTTAAACTTTAAATTAAATATGGTGACACGGCCCTGGCGCCTGTGTTCTCTCTTCAACCGTACATACTGCCACTCTGGCCCAAGAGGTAGAATATTGCTGTGAAATACCGTATCAATGCTCCCTTAACATCAGTTGATATAGAATGATCATTTTCAATGTATACAAACAAATTATCACCGAATGACCTTATAAAAATATTTTAACTTACCTAAATATCATATGGTACTTTAAAGTAAATTTATTTTTTAATTTAATTTTTTGTATTTTTGGTTTTTGCAGAATCTTATTGTACCTATTTTTAATCTTAAATTAATTAAATCTTTGTTTTGGCAATCATTAATACATTTTTAACAATTTATTTTAATCCTGGTGGTAAGCTCTATTTATAAATTATAATTATTATCAATTTTATATTATAATTATAGAAAAGACTAAACAGATATTATTTCAAAGAGCAAGAGCATCTCTTGAAGCAATAGATCAGTCTGTGGTTGTGGATAATGTTCCGCGCGACAGTAAACCATCCAAACAAATGCAGTTAACGTTTGACGGACAACTTTGCAAGCCTGATGTTTTATTTGAAGTATGTACCTATAAAAGTTATATTTATTGAAATTGGTAGTTTTTAATTGTTTTATTTTAATATATTTTATAGAACTCAAGGGTGTATAATTACAATCAGAAAAAATGTAACTTTTGTTCAAAAACAGAAAAGTTAGATTTTTGTGGGAAATGTGGAGAGGTATTTTGCAATATGTGTTCATTTTCTTTGTAAGTATTTATCAATTTTTAATTTTTACATCAGTTTCAAAAAGTCTAAATCTAAAATTAAATTGATTCTTTTTGTTTCTAGATTTTGCGCTGAAGCGAATAAAATGTGTTTAACATGTTATGAGTAGAAATGTTAATTTTTAAGAAATAATGTGATAAATATTTATTGATTTCAAATTTTATTAAAGAACTATTGTATATTTTATGTAAACTTTGTTTCTTTTTATTTTGAAATGTACTTTATATAACCTATTTTTAAATAATTTTACATTGATGTATAAAAGTAAATTATTCAACTGTTTGACTGTTTTTAAAACATATTTTAAAGTTTAATGTATTAACCTATTTTCTCAATAAAGCTAAGATGATATTTTGAATTTTGCATTTGTTATTTTATGCTTACAAAGTGTGTGAACAAATATTTGTATGGAATATCACAATTTAAAAATGTTATCTAGAAGAAAATTATTATTAACTTTTTACTTGCATATTAATTATTTTAGCCAATGCTTAATTTCCAATCCATAATTCATATTCAACTTCTTATTGCTGTTGCCCTTTGGATATAGTTGGAGAACATCCTATCATTATCAGATATCAGTGAATCTATAAAGATTATCGGTGGATTTATTTGAATCAATAGATATTTCTGTGGAAGTATCCGCATCGGCTCCCTCCTTTCATTTGAAGGTGGCCGTATCGGCTCCGACCCGATGCCAGAGGTGTGGACGTATCGGCTCCCAATCAACCACATTTTCCTTCCCATTTACAGACTGAGGACTGGCTACGGTGAGAAGAAATTCTCTGTAGGCATGGTTAAAAATGTTGTTGGCGTTTAAAATAAAAAATTGTGTTTAAATTATGTTAAAAAAATTGTGTTGACTTTTTTTTGGACTTAAAAATAATGTAAAATTAAAAAGTAAAAAATTAAAAAACTTGTGGTTTGAACTTGAAGGAAACTTTTTTATGTATTCCGCTCTGGAAATTTTTCCTTCTTTAAATTGATCAATAAATGTCTGAATAACACTATATAGGTACAAATATTTTGCTGGTTCTTTGTTTTTTTCCTAAAATTCTTGCTGCGGAGCTTTATATACGTGTCACCCTGTATCTGCTTCAAAATGTCCATGAAATTGAAAATGTTAGGATGAGCAGACGCGAACTCGGCATTAAATTTTGCGTTATCGAAACCGGACGCAATACGGCCGTTCAACGGACGGCAAGGAATAACGACCCGTAGCCGATAGCGGGAGCCTATTTCTGTGTAAACCTTCTTGGGTTACTGGATTTTTTTTTTTAAATATTTAATTTTCAAAACAGTTTAAACAAAATCGGATCTAGGATAAAAAACCACCGACAAAAAGGCACGGATAAATAAGCCATTGATAAAAAAGCTATGGGATAAAAATCCATGGGATAAAAAAGACATGCATTTATTTAACCCTTTTAAACCTTTTTAGATATAGGTATCTGTAAGTTATAACCATAAGAAATAAGTCAAATATTTTAAACTATAGGTATAAATGGGCTGCCGTATTTTTTTGGAATGGCATTTCTTGGAACATACGTTTTACGAAAACAATAAATCATACATTAAATACCGTAAATACCGTTTCCGGATGTATGGTATAACGTATAAATACTATAAATATACATTTGAAATATAAAAGATTAAACTGATTAAGGTATATAGCAATAAAAGTCATTGCCATTTGACTTTATCTTAAAACTGGTGTTGGTATCTAAAGTATTGTATTGTGTGAACAATATAATATACTATGTGATTGTCTCTATAATCTAATATTATTATAGGTTGACCGAAACATATGGTTGGGAAATTGGTAAAATTTTATCTTTTATACACTATTTAGTTTCCGTTATGCTCAGTCTGTTGTCTGTGTATACTGTATACTTGTATAGTACAAACGTCGTGAAATAAAAGTGTAAGGTGTTAAAATTTGTAAGAACTTTTTTTGAATTTTTATAATGGAAATTGTCAAAACAAATAAAGGAGGTAGCAAAATTTGTTTTAATGGTTATATGTACGTCATTAAGCATTTGGGGAAAAATAAAATAACCGGGCGTTGTATGAAAGCGAGTTCTCTCAAGTGTACAGGGACAATGTACACTGAATTGCAACATGATAATCCTGTAGAAAAAAATCCACATAATCATCTACCTGATAAAGAAGAAATGTTACTAAATGTATACAAAAACTGAAGGATCAAGTAACTTCTTCTAGTATGATAAATCCTGAAGAAATATTTACGGAAAATGTATCGCAAATAGAAATAGCAACTAAAGCTAGAATGCCGACTGAGGACACGGTAAAACGTATGCTAAGAAGACAACGATCAAAAAACTGTCCTATTAATTCTACTATGATCGAAGGTAATTACAAAATTATTATGAGTATATTTTTGGTGAATACATATATACATAATACATAGGTAGTTAATATTCGTATAATAACAGTACAATAAACGCGTATACTCGTATATTTTCCGTGATAAAATTACGTTTATTTAATATATATATATTTTATTAATTAATAATTATTAATAGGTAATTGGTGCACGTGCACGACTGGTAAGCCTAATTTTAAAAGATTTTTGCTATACGACAATATGGTTCAAACTCGGATGAACGTATTACAATTTTCGCCACAGATGACGGCTTAAAATTGTTATCAGAAGCTGAAGAATGGTTCATGGATGGCAACTTTGCATTATCGCCGACGGAATTCCAACAACTATATTATGTAATACGGATTCAAGTAAAAACAATATTTATTACACCTGTATTTTGCTTATTAAAAAGAAAAACCCAGTCTAGTTACGAACAATTAATTAAAATTTTATTAGAAAAATGCAATGAGAGGGAAATGTATCTTGATCCTCTTATAAGTTATATTACATGTGGATTTCGAAAAGGCTGTGATTGAAGCATTAAAAAATACAATTGGAAACCACATTTGTATTAAAGGGTGCTTTTATCACCTTACTCAAAGCACACATAGAAAAATACAGAATCTTGGACTTGAAAATATATGTATAGAAATAATAATGATTTTAGTATATATTTTGTAGAAAACTCGATAGTTTAGTATTTTTACCAGAAAACAAAGTTTTAGAGGGAATGGATTTTTTAAGAACAATTATGCCACCGGAGGCAACAGATTTAGTCGATTATTTTGATACCACGTATGTCCATGGGTCTTACAGAAGTGTTCAGTATAATCCGAATAATGGTATCAGACTTCGAAATATTGCACCGCTCTATCCACCATCAATATGGAATGTCTATCAAACTACCCTTGATAATGGACATCGAACTAACAACGAAACAGAAGGGTGGAACGTGGAACCATCGTTTTTCAAAATTAGTAGGCCACAATCATCCTTCTATTTGGTCATTAATTAAGAAAATGAGATTAGAGTTGTCTTCAGATGAAACAAAGTTAGCCCAATTCGTGATAGGCAATTTAAGTAAAAAAAAAAAAAAAAAAATTATGAAAAAATGCAAGAAAAATTGTATAAAATATGTAGTGATGGCTTAACACAGCGGACAATAGACGAATATTTAACAGCTATTGCTTACACAATACGATTATTTTAATTATTTATTATTTTATATTATATATTTTTAAATTGTAAATTTTAACTTTTATAAATTATACTAAATATTGTATTCAATTTTAACATTATTATATTATTATTTATTATAAAATGTACAAGTCATTTTATAGTTGAAAATTCAAATGATACTTGATTTAAAATTCGTCTTTTATCCGTGGCTTTTTTATCCTGTGGATTTTTTATCCGTGGTTCTTTTGTCCATGATTTTTTTATCCGTGGCTTATTTATCCGGTTACCAACAAAATCACGAGCGCTTCCCCGCAGTAAGGCCACAGAATAGATGAAATATAATTTAATATAATTTCATCTATTCTGTGGTAAGGCATTTGGCTGGCTTATCATAATATAATAACGTTATCATAGAGTTAATCTGCGACAACAGTTAAATTTTTTCTGATCCTATCTAAAAATAATAATTATAATAAAATTGGTTAGGTTTCCGGAAACTTCAAAAGTTATGGCAATTCAAAGTTGTCAATATTAAAAAATATAGGTACTTTTGAATGGACGAGCGAGTGACCACGCTGGGAATAAATATACTTAGAAACAATATTGAGGAAAACCGAGGTTTACCTGAGGTAGTTCACACAGCAAATAGGGGGATATTTTCGATTTGCGGAGCGGAGCGACGGCGCCGAGGAGCGTAGCGACGAGTGCCGATACACGCGTAATCGCTGCAACTTTGATATGCCATAACTTGTGAGAACAGTGAGTTTCCGGAAATTTTTGTAACTGGGAAACGGTGTAGCTGGTGGTACGCAAATTTAAAAAGTTTGAGAACCGCTGGTCTAAAGCCCTGTTCACACGATCAAATAATTTGTCAAATATTTGACATTGGTCAAACTCCAAATATTTTAGAACCATTTCTAAAATATTTGAAGTTTGACATACATCAAATATTTGACAAATTATTTGATCGTGTGAACGGGGCTTAAAGAAACTAAAAATTATACAATACAAACTATTACAAATAATACATTTCTATGTATCAAAATTAGAAAATTCTGAATTTTACATATATTTATATTTTTTTTAATTCTATGTTAACGTTATTATTTGATAAGCTAGCCAAATGCCTTACTGCGGGGAAGCGCTCGTACAAAATCATACAATGTATGTTAATGTAGGGATGATTTGTATTTAAAAATTTAATTACCATTCAGCATGCCACTCAGTATTTTCAATTACGTAATGAACAAGTCCCTGCAAAGAGTGAAGACATAACCTTACAAGCATACCTTTTATACTCCCTTAACCCTTTGCCATTGCGTTACCAGCCCATAATATTTATGACATCATTGAGTGATGATAGTGTATCACAACTGCTTTATAAAATATTAAAATCTACCTTTTAATCTCAACTGCATACTCTTGTCAAACAATTTACTTTTGTTTTTTTTTTCCGGTTTAATCGAGAGCCGGAGAAGGAACTGTTGCTCACATTGCTTCTCCTCGCTCACATTGCTTCTCCTTGTTCACACTGCTTCTCC